GCGTTGGTTCGGACACCGGGGGAAAACCCCCTTTCTCTTTTCAAGGTGACACAGGACCTTATACTTCTGCCTGAACAGGTAGACAAGACCTCAGTTAACGTGTCATCAGAAGGACAGCGCCTCTGTCAATGTAGCTTTCCCCAATCACTGCACTGAAGTGTCAGCAAAGACTTATATGAATTTCAAGTCTCGACATGGAAGCTTCAAGCCCCATCCTTCTGACTCGGAGGCGAGAGTCAGAACTGAGTCAGGCTGACACAAGAACGAGCTTGTTCTCACTGAAGAAAAGGAGGACAGAAAGATAGGATGAGGTCTTTAAAATACCGAGAGGCAGAGAGGATGTGGGCCTTGGGGTGGTTCAGCTTTGTGACGGAATCTGTGGCAAAGGTGACTACCGATAATAATAGCAACTGCTTTCTTCTACGTAAAAGAATGCAAGTTGTCATTTCAAAGCTCTTCACGAGATATAACTGATTGGAAACGAAGTGAAAGCTGATCATTTGAGAAAATGAGGCAGCTTAACTGATCCAGCGACGTCTTGCAAGCAAGTAAAATGAGACGTGTGAAAGAAAGCTAAGGGAAGGAAGGTGAAGTAAGAAATGATATCTAGATAGCTGGTCCTCTGATTTATTCCTGCCTTAAACCGGTGCCATGGAAGCAACTACTTGACTTAATACTGTGAGCACAACTGGAACTGATGGGTTTAAATGAAAAGCCTGAGGCAGAACTGGGGTTTGGAAGAATTTTTTCCATGATGTGTGTATATATGTGTGTGTGTGTGTGGAACAGATTCCAAATAAGAGCAGCCAACGCTGGGTCGATTAAGAGCTTCAAACGGAACTGTATATGTATATGTTTGAGAACATTAATGGGGGATATATGGGGATTGGATGGAGACTGAGATGGACAATGATTCCACAGAAGTTTTGCTCTGTGCTCTTGGGCGAGCGTAGGACATGAATAATAATAATCCTCGCATTTGATACAGCGCCTTATCAGGTCTTCGAGACATCTCAAAGCACTTCACAGAATATATTGTAAAGTGAATTGACTGTATATTTTGTGGGCGAAACGCGACAGCCAATTGTGCACAGCAGTGTCCAACAAACAGTCGTGGATTGAAGTGACCAATTTATTATTATTAATTTTGGGGGGGAAGGAATTATTACTCCCGGAAAAGCGACCAACAACCTATTTAGCGCTAGGTAAACGGAGCCGTGTGGAGTAAGGAATCTCTCCCAACATTTCGCCCTGCCCGGGAATCGAATCCGCGGGGGGGGGGGGGGGGGGGGGGTAGTTAGCAATGGCACGGACGCAATAGACTCGCAAGTCCGTTTGAGATATCGTCCGTTGAAATGGTTAAACACTGGGAGCCCTCTCAGACACTTTTTAAAACACAATGAGCAGCTGCCCCATTAGATGTTAATTTAAACTTTTCCCCTGGAAAATGACCAGTAATGAACAAGGCAGCCGGGATGCTTTCAGAGATTTTCGTTCGTCCCAATCCTTTCTAACTATGCCCAGCTGTTGTTAAGTTTCGGTGCCCCTAACATTCCAGAGTTACTGGATAATGAATGAGCCATTATAACCCTGAGCCGATCACACCAGAGACCAGAACTATCTACAAGTTATTAAAAAGCAAAGCCCGGCATTTTTCATTACATGCATTCTCTCTCATTACACTGACTGAAAAGCTTAGAGCAGTTTCGTTGCTTGGCTCAGTCAGTATTATCTCTGGATCAGAAGGTTGTGGATTCAAACCTCACGACAACAAAGCAATTTGCATTTGCACAGGACCCTTCACGTGGGGTAGGGTCTCGGAGCGCTCAACATTGGCGGAAGCCGACCCCAAGCCAGGGAAGGAGAGGAGGTGACCATGAGCACGGTGGAAGAGGAGGGTCTTGAGTCGTGATCTAAAAGAGGGGCAGGAAGGCGGGGGGGCAAAAGGCGGAGGGATTTGGGGAGAGAGTTCCAAAGCTTCGGGGGTGGGGGTGGGCAGTGGCTGAAAGTGCAGCCCCTTATGTTAGGAGTGGAGCTCACAGCCCGGGTTGACAGTAATGATGCAGTGCTAACATTGTCAGAGGTGCATTGCCTTTGGAATGAGATGTTAAACCACATTCACCACTATCTAACCTGTCGTTCCCTTCCATTATTTTAAATCCCTCGATCAAATCCCGCTCCCCTTTAACCCCTTATCTAAGGCCTGTAACCCCAGCTTCCTGGCCCAGCTAACACCTTTCGCGTTCAAAGGGGTCCAAAATATTTCCTATTACATCCAAACTTGTAACGTCTTCAACAACAAATGACGAGCACACCACACCTTTCAGGTCAGGAGGACGTCCCAAGGCGCTGGACAGTCAACGATTTGGACCTGAGCTGGGGGTTGGGATCAGGAGGGGTGGAGGGCAGGGAGGGTGGGGGGTAGGGGGTAGGAGGGTGACCTTTGAAGGCGCAGTCGAAGAGGAGGGTCTTGAGATGTGCCTTGATGGGAGTCAGGCATAACTACCGTGGCATTACTTTTTGTCAAGGATGCTCATCTCTTTTCTGTCTCTCACACACACACACACATACAGACAGATAGACGCACGCACTTTACTCACTTGTTTCCCTCATCGTTTTACCAATTCCTGGCAATGAACGCACAACTCAGTGCAACTAACCCAAATGGAATTCCTGTGATTTTTCTAGCGTCTGTGTTTGATAGATACGGTCGTCTCATCCAAACAACTTACTTAGCAGTGGTTGGATTTGCACGAGGTTCGAACAAATGGCTTAGAACGTGTCTTTCTGCCGTGCGCAATTGGCAGCCGCGTTTCGCCCACAAAATACCCAGTCAATCCACTGTACAGCATGTTCCGTGAAGCGCTTTGGGGCGTCTCGACGACCTGCCATGTCAAATTCAAGGATGATTATTATTGTTGTTATTCTCCCCATCGACAGCACGAATGTTTATACGCAGCGCTTTGGAACCCTTCAAACTGGACGTTGTTATTGTTGGTGAATTGGATAAAAAGGGAATACTGTATCTATTTCTGGTAGGAAATATGAACATCCGGTCGGCAGAACAAATAACTACCAGGACAACGGTGAAGTGTCAACTGTTGTATACTTGTGTGAGATAATACTGAAAACAATATTTATATTAAACGTTAATTTAAAAATGAGAAAGTATTCTGATCCCTCACAGCATCCCAGCCATCGGTGCGGGCGTCGATGGCGAGAGGAGAGGGGACACGGATTATTAATAATAATAATAATAATTATTAGAAGAATGATTTGGTCACTCAATCCACAACTGTTTGTGAGACACTGCTGTGCGCAATCGGCTGCCACGTGTGCGGCCGCAAAATTCACAGTCGTTCCACTTCACAGCCTATTCTGTTCAGAGAGAGAGAGAGAGAGAGAGAAAAAAAGTGACTGTGGATGTGTCTGTGTGTCTGTCTCTCTCTCTCTCTCTCTCTCTTTTTGTCTGTCTGTCTGTCTCTTTTCCCCCTAAATTCCCTGGGAATGAGGAGCTGGTGGGGCGAGAACGGGACTAATCGGGAGAACTCCTCCAAAAGAGCCACCGCCGGAGCGACGGAGCCGGAGCGACGGACCGAATGGGCCTCCTCCCGCGCCGCGAGACTCGGTGGATAATGGGCTGATGTCGATCGCAAATTAATTCCGCGCGGATTAAGTCTTGAGGGCTTTGCTCATTTCTCCGGCGGAGGCAGTGGGCACTGTGTGTGTGTGTGTGTGTGTGTTTTTCCTGGTGAGAGGCGGGTCTTGAATCCCCAGTATAAAGCCAGGAGGCAGGAGCACAACCCACCAGCTCCTCATTCCCAGGGAATTTAGGGGGAAAAGAGACAGACAGACAGACAAAAAGAGAGAGAGAGAGAGAGAGACAGACACACAGACACATCCACAGTCACTTTTTTTCTCTCTCTCTCTGTGTGTGTGTGTCCCATTTACAAATCTCTCTCTCTCTCTTTCTGTGTGTGTGTCTCATCTGCAAATCTCTCTCTGTTTCAGACCCAAATCTTTCTCTCTCTCTCTCTCTCTGTGTGTGTGAGTGTGTTTCATTCCCAAATCTTTCACTTTCTCTCTCTCTCTCTCTGTGTCTCATCTGCAAATCTCTCTCTGTGTTTCATTCCCAAATCTTTCACTTTCTTTCTCTCTCTCTCTCTCTCTGTGTCTCATCTGCAAATCTCTCTCTGTGTTTCATTCCCAAATCTTTCACTTTCTTTCTCTCTCTCTCTCTCTCTCATCTGCAAACCTTTCTCTCTTTCTCTCTCTCTCTCACTCTCCATATCTATCTATTCCCTCTCTGTCTGCAACCAAACCCCCTCCACCCCACATCTTGGTTGTTGGGGCGACCCTCCCTCTACCTCCCTCTCTTGTCTTTCTCCTTCCCTCTCTCTCTCTCCCCCCCACTATAATTCTCCTTCTCTCTGTCTTTCTCTCTCTCCCTCCTTCCCTGTCTCTCTCCTTCCTTCCCTCCCTCTCTCCTTCCCTCACTCTCTCTCCTTCTCTCCGTCTCCCTCTCTCCTTCCCTTCTCTCTCTCTCTCTCTCTCCCTTCCTCCTTCCTTCCCTGGTCTCTCTGTCTCTCCTTCCCTCCCTCCTCTCCTTCTGCATCTCTCCTTCCCTTCCTTCTCTCTCTGTCTCCCTCCCTCCCTCTCTCTCCTTCTCTCTGTCTCTCCTTCCCTCCCTCCTCTCCTTCTGTATCTCTCCCTCCCTCTCTCTCTCTCTCTCTCTCCTTCTCTCTGTGTCCCCTTCCCTCCCTCTCCCTCTCCTTCCCTCCTCTCTGTGTCTCCTTCCTTCCCTCCCTCCTCTCTTTCTCCCTCTCCTTCTCTCCCCCTCTCTCCCCTTCTCTCTGTCTCTCTCCCCCTCTCCTTCTCCCTCTCCTTCTCTCTGTCTCTCTCCCCCTCTCCCTCTCTCTTTCCCTCCCCTCCTCTCCCCTTCTCTCCTCCCCCTCCCCCTCTCTCCCCCCCCCTCTCTCCCCCCCCCTCCGCCCCCCGCTATGCTAACCCGCCCCTCTCCGCCGGTGCCGGTGCCGGTGCTGCTGTTGTTGTTGCTGCCGCCGCCCGGTGCGGAGCCGTGGAGCCCGGAGGTGGCGATCCGCTGTCCGCTGTGCTCGGAGGAGCGGAGGGGCGGCTGTAAGGTGCCGGTGGGCTGCGAGGAGCTGGTGCGGGAGTCGGGCTGCGGCTGCTGCGCCACCTGCGCCCTGTCCCGGGGCAGCGCCTGTGGGGTCTACACCTCGCGCTGCGGCTCCGGACTGCGCTGCTTCCCCCGGACCGGAGCCCACAAACCCCTCCACTCCCTCATCCACGGCCACGGGGTCTGTATGGAGCCCTCGGACATCCAACAGGTCAGAGTGACCCTACCCAGGCCAGGTAACCGCACACCGGGCAACCGCACACCGGGCAACCGCACACCGGGCAACCGCACACCGGGCAACCGCACACCGGGCAACCGCACACCGGGCAACCGCACACCGGGCAACCGCACACCGGGCAACCGCACACCGGGCAACCGCACACCGGGGTAACCGCACACCGGGCAACCGCACACCGGGCAACCGCACACCGGGCAACCGCACACCGGGTAACCGCACACCGGGCAACCGCACACCGGGCAACCGCACACCGGGCAACCGCACACCGGGCAACCGCACACCGGGCAGCCGCACACCGGGCAGCCGCACACCGGGCAGCCGCACACCGGGCAACCGCACACCGGGCAACCGCACACCGGGGTAACCGCACACCGGGCAACCGCACACCGGGCAACCGCACACCGGGGGAGGGGGGTAACCGCACACCGGGGTAACCGCACACCGGGCAACCGCACACCGGGGTAACCGCACACCGGGGTAACCGCACACCGGGTAACCGCACACCGGGCAACCGCACATCGGGCAATCGCACACCGGGGTAACCGCACACCGGGCAACCGCACACCGGGCAGCCGCACACCGGGCAACCGCACACCGGGGGGTGGGGGAGAGGGGTAACCACACACCGGGCAACTGCACACCGGGCAACCGCACACCGGGGGGGGGGTTAACCGCACACCGGGGTAACCGCACACCGGGCAATCGCACACCGGGCAACCGCACACCGGGGTAACCGCACACTGGGCAACCACACACCGGGTAACCGCACACCGGGCAACCGCACACCGGGAGGGTAACCGCACACCGGGCAACCGCACACCGGGGGCGGGGGAGAGAGGGGGTAACCGCACACAGTGGGGTATCCGCACACGGGAGGGGGGGTAACCGCACCCGGGGGGAGGGTTACCATACAGGGGGGTAACCGCACACAGGGGCGGCAGGGAGAGAGGGGGAGAGAGAATGTGTGGGAGAGATTGTGGGAGAGGGAGAGAGTTTGGGAGAGGGAGAGAGAGTGGGAGAGGGAGAGAGTGTGGGAGAGGGAGTGAGTGGGAGAGAGTGTGGGAGAGGGAGAGTGTGGGAGAGGGAGAGAGTGGGAGAGGGAGAGAGAGAGTGGGAGAGAGTGTGGGAGAGGGAGTGAGTGTGGGAGAGGGAGAGAGTGGGAGAGGGAGAGAGTGTGGGAAAGGGAGTGAGTGTGGGAGAGGGAGAGAGTGTGGGAGAGGGAGTGAGTGGGAGAGGGAGTGAGTGGGGGAGAGGGAGTGAGTGTGGGAGAGGGAGTGAGTGTGGGAGAGGGAGTGAGTGGGAGAGGGAGTGAGTGTGGGAGAGGGAGTGAGTGGGAGAGGGAGTGAGTGGGAGAGGGAGAGTGTGGGAGAGGGAGTGAGTGTGGGAAAGAGATAGTGAGAGAGTAAGTGTGTGATAAAGAATGAGGGGAGAGGGCACATGTGAGAGAGAGAAAGAGAGTGTGAGACAGAGAGTGTGAGAGTGGTAACGAGAGAGAGAGAGAAAGAATGAAAGAAAGAAAGAAAGAAAGAAAGTGTGTGTGAAAGAGAGAAAGTGGGAGTACGATAGATAGAGTGGGAGAGACGAGGGGGTGAGAGAGTGGGGGAGATACTGTGTGTGAGTGAGAGAGAGAGAGAGAGGGGGGGAGTGTGAGAGAAAAGATGGGAGGAAAAAGGGGGTCCAAAAAGTTTAGTAAAACTTCAGTGAAACTTCAGACGTTGCTCTGTACCCACTTTGTCTGGAGAGGATGGGTTTATGTTCTGGGAGAGATTGGAGAGGGAGAGAGAGGTAATGGGTGGATTGAGAGGTTGGGGGGTGTGTGTTTTTATTTGGGGGGGAAGGAGGGGTGTTGGGGGGAAGCATTGGCTCTGACTGGCAACTGAATGTACCCCCTCCCCAACACCTACACACACATCACATCACACACACACACACAGACACAAAAGGAAATACTTCTCAGTGGAATCACTACACAGCAACTCAAAAGGACCCCAAATCGACCAATTCACTCACAGCTCTATCTCCAGGGGTTTGAATGGCAGAACTGTGGTCGTTCTATTGTGTGTGTGTGTGTGTGAGAGAGAGAAAGAAAGAGAGAAAGAGAGAGAGAGAGAGGTAGAAGATGGATCCACAGAGACAGACTCTCCATCTCCAGCACTTGATGGGGTGGGGAAGAGGGAAGGGTCGCTAACTGGACCATGAGATCTTTTTTCTTGGGTGGGTGGGTGGGTGGGTGGGTTGGTGGGGCTCATGCAAATGCTTCGCGTGAGGGTTGCCTTTCAAAAAAAAAAGCGTACGGTCATCCAGTCCTACCCGCTTGTCTCGAACTCGGAAGCGCCCTGGGACGCTACCCTCCTGGAGGGGCGCTGTGTAAATGCAAGTTGTTGTTGTTGTTGTTGCGGTTTATGTTGACGTTCCCGCTTGTATTGCCCCCCCCCAAAAAAAAGCGCAGTCCTGGTCTCTTCTCCACAGGTTAAATAGTTATTTTTTTTAAAAAAATCCCTATCGTCTGTGTGTCGACGAGACAGTGAGGTAGACGGTGGTGGTGGTGGTGGGGGTGGGTGGGTGGAGGAGAGAGGAGGGCAAAAATCAGCTCAGAGAGGGGCTGTGGAGCTGCGGACGGGGCTTGTATTTTGAATTTGTAGGAAATTCTCTGACATTCCCAGGACACTTTGTCTCCCGAGTTGCAATGCTCCCAGGCAGCAACGGTAGGGGTTGGTGGAGTCATTGTGGAGTTGGGCTGTGCCCTGTTGTTATGGCAGTCAGTACACAAATAAAGACTGGTTGCAGACAGCTTAGACAGATTTTTCTTTTCTTTGGTCAGCCCGGGTGTCTGACACACGCGGAAACCCATCAACACTCTTTAAGAGTCTCCAAACCAAACTGCGAATTCTACGCATCCCAACTACACATGGAAATTCCAGAGTTGGATTGGAATGGAATGCGCGTTCTCTCTCTCTCCCTCTCTCTCTCTCTCTCTCTCTCTCTCGCTCTCACTCTCTCTCTCTCTCTCCCTGGATGGATGCATCCTGCTTACCTAATTCCGGAAAGTATTAGGGGCAAGGTTGGCAAGAGCCATGGCGTGTGTGTGGCGGAGGTAGGGGGAGGGGGAGACACCAGCGTGTGCGTTAGGGGGTGACTGCTGGAATCTAACCAGCTAAAACCACGCACAGCTTGGCGTTGGTATCGCTGGCGGGCAAGGGTGGACAGAACCTGAGCCTAATTGGCGATGCTTCGAGCAATTTAACGTGCCTGGCTCAGCTTGGGGGAGACGTGGGCTTCAGACAACCTGACCTAAGCGGCGATTTTATTTGCGCCTAAAAGTCGCTCGAGGCGTTTTGTGTGATTTGCTTAATCTTCCTCGAACAACTGGATTCTAGGATTCTAGATTCTAGTATTCCCAGCGGCTTGGGACGTGCTCCCGACGTGACAGGCGCTACACAAGTGTAATCTTGCTGCTGCTGCTGTTGTATTGAGAGACTTAATGTAGGAAAGCGTAAAACCTACGAAATGATGCATCCCCTTTGTGCGCCTTCGGGAAGGGCGCATATAAATGCAAGTTGTTGTTGATGTCCCTTTGCAGAGTTGCTCAGGAGTCTTATCTGAGTGAGAAAGTGACATAACAGGGGATTAGGCCCCAAACGCCTTTACTCTCGCGTCCGAGGTTCAAGTCACTGACAACAGGGGAGGGGGGGTGACTGCACTGGAACTACAAGCAGGGTTTGAAGCGCTCCGGGACACTACCTCACGTAAAAAGCCCTATATAATTTTTTTTAAAAAATATGCAAGTTGTTATTGTCATTGGCGCTGGTGCTGCTGATCGGACACTGACACGGGGTCAGGAAGTTGACTGACTGCCCCTTGCGACACCTCCACCTTTGCCAGACTGGGTCAGTGGCTGCAGTGATGATGCGAAACTCATTCGGCGCTGGAGTGATCTGTACTGGGGTAGAGCTGGAGTAAAGGTTGTGGCGCTGTTGCGGACCAAGGCTGGAGTTGTGTGGAGTAGAAAGATAGAAACAGGAGGAGGTCATTCAGCCCCTCGAGCCTGTTCCGCCATTCTATAAGATAATGACTGATCTGTACCCCAAGTCCAATTACCCGCCCCCTCCCCCCCTTGCCCCCCGTATCTTGTGTGAATGGATCCAGCATCCAACACCTTTTTGGGGGGAAAGAGAGCTCCAGGTTTCCATTACCCTTCGAGTAGAGCCGGCTCTGTACTGCTATGCCAGGCACCAGTTGGCATAATGCCCCACACGCGAGTGAGGCTTATTGAAGTTACCAGTTGTGCTCCCTGGCTTGTGCCCATCTCCCCATCCATCCCTCAGGTGGGCAGACTCGCAGGTAATTAAGTTGAGCCATGGGTGAAAGTGATACCCATAGAGCGCATTACTGCCTAACGTGACGAGCACTTTACCTGCACACACACGGTCTGTATGTGTGTGTCTCTCATTGCTTCTCTTGCCTGAACATTACTCTCTGTGCTCGTCTATAATAATACTACTACTACTACTAACAATCCATGCATTTGATACAGCGCCTTATCACGTCTTTGAGACGTCTCAAAGCGCTTCCAGAATATACTGTGAAGGGAATTGACTGCGTACTTTGTGGCCGAAACGCAGCAGCCAATTGCGCACAGCAGCGTCCCACAAACAGTCGCAGATTGAAGTGACCAATTTTTTTTTGAAGGAAAAGCGATCCGCCAATTGCCTTAACAACCGGGTTCCTACTTACTGCTGGGTAAAACAGGAAGCATTTCTTTACGACTGGAACAGGTGGCCAGGAAGGGTGGTTGAGACAGGACCCAAAAGGAGTGTGATGGCGGTAGGGTGGGTGTTGCGGTGTAATGGGATCAGATGGGTGGAAGAACCCTCTTCAACTGAATCGATCGCGTGACATTCAATGTCCCACCAAAGACCACTGGTCAAAGCAGATTCCAGAATAACTTATCGAAAGGGAATTAGACAAATATTTTGTTTCACCCACCAAAAATACGGT